ATGTTCTTTTGTGGCATGTGGCATGCCGCCGAACTCCTCCTAGTAGAGCCGGGCCTGCTTCTGGATGTTTGCGCGCCCCTTGAGTTTGCCCGCGACCCAGTTGTTGAAGTCCATGGTCACGGCCTGGCCTGCTGCTCCAACAGGCTGTTCCATCACCAAATCAAGGCCACTGTAATCGGGAGAAGAAGGATTACGGGCAACCGCCATCTCGATTTGGATGAGGCGGCGAACACAAAACTCTGCCATGAGGAGGTTGGACAAATCGAGTTGATCGGTGGAAATTCCTACACGAATCATGTCACATAGCACCCGATGTTCATGAACTGCTGAAAATTGGGATACTCCAGAGGATTGTCTCCATTGCAAATGATACGTTGAGATGTCACTAGCCCCTTCTCTCGCGGCCTTAAGGAACTCTAGCACTGCTCGAGGGCCCGAAAGGGCCCAATCCTCCATCTTCGTGTTGCGCATCTTCGTGACACCAGCCCTGAACTCCAAGAATCTCTTTCCCTGACCGTCTCTAAAATCACCCAGCAACCTAACATCCCCCTTTGTGGCTTCGCGGCCAAGGATCCAAGATGCCTTTCGAGAGACAGCGACCCGCTTGCAGTAAACCTCCTCCCCGTCGATCTCAACGAGAGCCGAATCTCTAAGCACCACCCCGTCGTCAATCACATCTTCTCCAACAGCACTCCCAAAATCTTGCCGGGTAGTGTCCGCAACCACTCATAGGCATCCACGTCCTCACCGGCAGCGTCGTTGAAGAGGTTGGCCATGACACGCGCCCGTCGATGGTAGGCTTCAAGATCTGCTCGGGGGATCGGGTCAAAGGCGTAGACAAACGGAGCTTGACCCTCAGGAAAATCAGCTCGCCGCTCCAAAGGCACATGGACGATGATGTTGAGGTCAATCCGCTCTATGTCTCCATCTGGAGTAACACCTATCCAGACTCCTGGCCCTGTTTTCTCAAGGAGCACTCGATGGTGCCAGAAAAATCCGTTGGCATCGCCTGGGTAATGTCGTAAGATCTGTGGTTCCCTGATATCCAAGGTTCTGGGTGGCGGCTCAGCAGCCATCTTATCTGCCTGTCTGCAAGGACCCCCGCTTCAAAGCTGAAGGAGTTGTAGGCCCCCGACTTCGCTGCCGTTCCGGATCAGCCACCGGGACCTGAGTTGTGATATCTGTCTTCGTTTCTGTTTCAGGCTCCGATTCCTCCTCCAATGCCAATGTCTCACCAAAGTTCTCTCCTGAAAACTGTCGGCGCCGACTCCAGAAGAACAGGATAAAGAATCCAACAAAGATGAGCTCGATGGTTCCAGTAACTTTTAACAGAAATCTCTGAACCTCAGTTTCCCGATTGCACACCTCCAAGGCAGAATTGGACGCCGACAAAAGCCGCTGCCCACGTGCCAGTTCTTGGCGAAAAGCCAAAATATCAGATTCAATCTGCTCCAAATCGCTAGCTGGCCGAACCCAAGCTGATCGCAGGAGATGGCTCACTACAACTACCGCCGCCACAGCACGTGGGCCAAGCGTTATCATCAACCCTCCTTAATCCGAAAACCTGAGACATGTACAGANNCACACAAAAGACGCAAGCTATACATCGTGATAGGTAGTCCAAAGGGCCAGCCGGACTCACGTTAATAAATGTGTTTGCATCACCCTCCATAGTATACAGGCCCGGCGGGGGGGCGGTAGGAAAGCAGGAAAGCTTCAGGCCGTAAGGTCCATATAGTTTTCTTCTACATGTAGTTTTCTGACCCGGGGACCATGTCTTTGGTGTGGATTTCTCAATGTTACTCCTTTCTATGGAATGGGACTTTGTTGCGGCTTCCGTTATTTTCGTACTATGTCCTGCTATACGTTTTCATATTAGTTTTCTTCTACATGCAGTTTTCTGACTCCTCTTTATTCAGTCTGGCTCGAAAAGCCATAAGGGTACGACATTGTTAGTGAGTGTGTATTTCTGAACTTTACCGAATATAGCACTCCGGGTGGTGGGTGGTAGGTGGTGGGTGGCGGGCAGTGGGTAGGGCCGATGGCGCACCCAGCAAGCTGGGGCCAACGGGTCATCACAAGAACATGCACTGATGTGAGCGTTTGCCGAAACGAGACTCCTTGTAACCCGTGGCTTGAACAGTTTTGGGAGGCCCTACCCTTATTTTGCATTTCGGGGCCGTACAATCGGCGCAGCTGGAAATGTACAACATCAG